GGAGGGGAACAGAATAGAGCAGACAGAAAGGTTGAGTGAGGTGAGTAGTGTGGAAATGGTCGAATATGAAATACAGTCGAGTCATGGCAGTTGAAAGTGGGAAGTCAACTGTTGGTTAGTAGACTTTTTGCCGTATCAGCATACTTTGCCCAGGTTGCACCACGTGGAGGTAGGTTTAGAGTGCACCAAACAAGGAATATATAACACGACTTTTGAGCATGTGAATGCTTCTATCTACAGCAAGGTAGAAATAGTTTTGGAAGAGGGTTTGAGGGAGGGGTTGATTAAATACGTGGGATTCTTCTCCTTCCACCTCGAAAAAAGCATAAAATGGTGCTTTTTCAAACTATTTTTAGGGGTGCTTGTGCCAATTTTTCGATGTTAATACTAACGATGACCTTATGAGATGACGTTCGGACCGTGTTAGGGAATCGTGCCCTCTATTAGATCAAATCAAAAATTTGACCCTGAGCAACCTTGTGTACCCAGTATTCCCAGCGAACGGTGCTAGTTTTGATAATGCAAACCCCCCCCCCTCTTCCGCAAGAATTGGCATGCGCAGCTGGAAGCTTATTTCTTCAATCTTTGCCCCACGAATACCTTTATAATCAACTCTACCAGAGACAGGAACTGACGTTGTTGGCTCTTTCAGCCATGACGGCTCGATCAAGCCAAATAAATGTGTTGCTGTTAACTAATTTCTTCTTTCTGAATTATATACCTAAACAGAGAATTGAAGTCCAAAATTAAGTGGACGTTGGACAGAAAATTGAAAAAAAGTTAATTGTTTTATTAAAACGGAATTCTCACATTTACAAAATAATCGATTCTGCTTAGTCATCACTAAATTAAATCATTGTCAAAGTATACAACATCCCACTCCTTAGCTATAATTAACTCCAACTAAACAATGCTGTTGGGTGGATTCACATTATAAGAAATTAAACGTCAAATGCTCAAATCTACCTGGAAGTTGGAAAATTGAGATCTAAGTAATAGTCCTGTTGTCGTGTGGATATACAAATTAGCCTAAAAAATTAAAATATCACCTTTAGTGCTTAAAAGCTAACATTTTATTCAAACAAATGCAACTTTCACAGTATGGACATTTAATTGGAAGTTGCGTGTTAAGTAAAAGAGACAATTTCATTAGTAGCTGCTTTGAGTGGGTGCCTTGTAGCGCTGGTTGATGGCGGGGGGAGGTGGTTACGAATGGAAGAGGCGAACAATACACTGAAATTAGATATCGAATGGTTGAATTGAGGGGTGGGATGGAAAAGGCAGGTAGCAGTATCTTGCGGTGGTTGAAATTGAAGGGTCAATAGCAGTTCTGACTATTGGCAGGCTGACTAATAGCATTGGCTCAGGTGCCCGAGCAAAAGGTTAATCAGTTGCACGTGAAATTAATGTATCTTTTGAGTTAAATTAATCCGTTTTTCTGTCTTCTTACGCAGACTGACTCCATCAAACACATCGGCATTAAAAGTTGTTTGGTTGGTCCGAGATCTTCAATATTTTGGGTGGGCACTTAAACAACTAACTTAAAGGCAAAATGATAATAAAATACATCCCCCCACGTCTTCACATATGATTTCATTGTAACCCATTTCTACGTGAATTGTGAAGGTACGTAGGAGGGACACTATAAACGTCATTCACGCAGACGCTAAACTATTCAATACATATTATATATGTATTATATTATATTATTTTACTATGGCTTATGACAATGTTGCGGTCCACTGATTAATTCAATAATTGTTTACCTCTAAAGAACTGTGTTAGCTGCAATTCAACGCCTTGATTATAGGTGAATAAGAGGAAGATTTTCGGAGAGATTTGAAAAAAACCTTTTGACACCACTTGAATTACATCAAGTAAAATAAAATGGTCACTAAGAGACGTCAGCCAGTTTGGCGTTTTCGCAAACAAGTAAAGTAGCCTTACTTCCTTAAAATTATTTAAGTCATTGTTATAACGAATTACTTAAACATGCATTAATATTGCGCAGTTTCATTATAACGTTTATGAATCTCA